GATTTTTGCCAAATCTGCCCCAGTTCCCCCCAAATCCCCCCACAGTCTCTCCACTTCCCCCCCTTAGCTGCCACCCCACACCCCCAGCTCCCCAGTCCCATACCCCAATGTCCCCTCACATCATTCCCATGTCCTCCCCCACCCCAAATCATGCCCATGGCCCCCAGCCCCACATCCCCCCACCACGTCCCCATTTGTCCTCATGTCCCCAGGCCTGGCCTATCTGTGCGAGGGGCTGCGGGAGCAGCGCCGCGGTTTGGTGACATTGGTGCTGTGGAACAACCAGGTGACGCAGGCAGGGACGGCGTACCTGGGGGTCACGCTGGTGAGTGTCCCCAAAGTGTCCCCAAAGGTGTCCCCAACGTGTCCCCAGGCTTGGGATGTCCCCATTGCCCCCAGCATCCCCAGACTTCAGGACATCCCCAGCGTCCCCCCAGGCTTCGGGATGTCCCCAATGTCCCCAACGTGTCCCCAGGCTTCGGGATGACCCCAGTGTCCCCATGCTGTCCCCACAGCCCCACGCACAGAGCCTGGAGACCCTGAACCTGGGCCACAACCCCATTGGCAACGAAGGCGTGCGCAACCTGAAGACGGGGCTGATTGGGAACCGCTCCGTGCTGCGCCTGGGCCTGGCTTCCACCAAACTGACCTGCGAAGGTGGGGGGGGGGACGGAGCCCCTCGGGGAAGGGGGCAGTGCGGGGAGGGGGGGGGAACCCTAGGAATGGGGTGGCCGTGAGCGTGGGCTCCTCTTGGGACCCTGCGGAAGTGATTGTCCTCGAGGTGCAACGGGTGACCCCGACGTCACCACGGCCATCTCATCCTATAGGATGGGGGTCCCAGGCATCGTCACCTCTTGGGGACCCCACAAAATGCCATCGCTGATGTCCAGCGAATGACCCCGATGTCGCTGCAGCCACCTCGTCCCCTGGGTTGGGGGTTCTGGGGGTCTCTTCTTGGAGACCCTACAGAAGTGACATCCAGTGAATGACCCCGATGTCCCTATGGCCGTCATCCCTTGGGTGGGTCGTGCTGGCCATCGTCACCTCTTATGGACCCTACAGAAAGACACCCTCGAGGTCCAGCAGGTGACCCCAGTGTCACCATGACCACCTCGTCCCCTGGGTCCCGGCTGCGGTCTCTCCTTGGGGACCCTACAAAAACCACATCCATCCCACCAGTGACCCCGATGTCCCCGTGGCCGTCATCCCTCAGCCCCGCGTCCCTGGCTGCCTCCTCCTTTTTGGGGCAGCCCATAAAATGGCCGTCCACGAGGTCATGGCAGTGTCCCCCCCATAGGGGCGGTGGCGGTGGCCGAATTCATCGCCGAAAGCCCCCGGCTGCTGCGCCTGGACCTGAGGGAGAACGAGATCAAGACGGGGGGGCTGATGGCGCTGGCGCTGGCGCTGAAGGTCAACCAGTCGCTGCTGCGCCTCGACCTGGACCGTGACCCCAAAAAGGAGGCGGTGAGGGGGGAGGGGGGCAGAACCAAGGGGAGGGGGCGCGAAGGGGGAGGGATGTCCTCAAAGATGGAGGACGTGGGGGGATGGGTGTCCCCAAATGTCTCTTCCCATTCCCCAATTTCTCTTCCCAAATCCCCACATTTCCCATCCCCAATTCCCCCCCCGCCCCCCTAAATGTTCCCTTTCCCCCCATCCCATCCCATCCCCCCCCAAATCATCCCCCCTCCCTCCATTCTGCTCACTGCTTCCCTCCCGCAGGTGAAGAGTTTCATTGAGACCCAGAAGGCTCTGCTGGCCGAGATTCAGAGCGGCTGCAAACGGAATTTCGCTTTGGCCCGCGAGCGCGACGAGGGGGAAGCTCAGCCCCCGCAGCCCCCCGGCACGGCCGGCATCGGTGGGGGGGACGGCGGGGACCCCAACGGGGACGGCGGCGACGGGGACCCCGATGGCGGAGGGGCCGGAGCGCAGCGCGGAGCGGCCACCGATTCCAGCTCAGATACGGAGGACGAGGGGGCTGGGGGAGATGGAGGGCGAAGGGACAGCACAGCGAGCCCTGAGGGGGCTGCCGACGGCGGGGGGGGCACCGCGGAGACCCCCGAGTCACCACGGGGTCAGCAGCAGCGCATTCTGGTCACCAGCCCCGGGAGGGGACACAAAGTCTTCGTGGTGACGCGCGTGGAGAGCGGGGCCGGCTGCGATCCCAAGGAGGCAGCGGGGAGAGAGGGGAAGGACGGCACCGCCAACGGGACCGGAGCCACCAATGGGACTGTCACCGTGGGGACAGCCACCAGCAATGGGGCAGCCACTGATGGGACGGCCACCAGCGATGGGACGGCCACCAATGGGACAGGCACCATGGGAACCGTCACCAGTGGGACGGCCACTGCCAATGGGACAGGCGCCGTTGGGACAGCCGCCACAACCAGGACCAGCCCCACCAGTGGGACAGCCACCATGGGGACCATCCCCACCAATGGGACGGCCACCACCTCTGGGACAGCCACTAATGGGACGGTCAGGAGTGGGACCATCCCCACCAATGGGACGGCCGCTGACGGGACGGCCACCACCTCCAGGATGGTCACCGCCAATGGGGTGGCCACCGGTGGGAATGTCACCAGTGGGACAGTGGCCACCAGCGGGACCCCCGCCACCTCTGGGACGGCCACCAGTGGGACTGGCAGCATGGGGATGATGGCCACCAGCGGGATGGCTACTGATGGGATGGCCACCGAGGGGACAACCGCCACCTCTGGGACGGCCACCATCAGTGGGACTGTCTCCATGGGGATGATGGCCACCAGCGGGACAGTGACCGAGGGGACAGCCTCCACCTCTGGGACGGCCACCGCTGGGACAACCGCCAGCCCTGGGACGGCCACCAGTGGGACAGTCACCGAGGGGACAGCCACCAGTGGGATGGACGTCACTGGGACGGCCACCGCCTCTGGGACGGCCACCGCCGGGACAGTCACCTCCGGGACGGCCGCTGATGCGACGGCCACCAGCAGGGTGACCACGGGTGGCCCGGCGCTGCCCAACGGGCTGAAGGCAGAGCTGGGCCAGGCGCTGCCCGACGGCGACGGCAAAGCGGGGAGCTGCGGTGCTGAGCACGGTATGGGGGGCAGCGGGGGGACGGGGACGGGGTTGGGACCTGAATGTCCCCGTGGGACCCGGCTGCATCGCGGTGATCCCAACTGCTGTTGTTTCAGAGCTGAGCTGCTGGAGGGACGAGCGGGATCTGGAGGAGCTGCTGCTCGAGGCCAGCCAGGACGCGGGGCAGGAGCCGCCGTGACGGCGCCAAGGGGGGCAGTGGGGCTGGATTTGGGGTCGGGGGCTGGATTTGGGGTCAGGGTCCAAACTTGGGGTCAGGGTCTGGGTTTTGGATCAGGATCTGGGTTAGGGCTCAGGATCCGGATTTGGGGTTGGGGTCCGGATTTGGGCTCAGGTTCCAGCACTGGGATCTGCTGTGGGGTTGTGGGGTCCCTGTGCTGTTCCCAGTTCTCTCTCAGACCCCCAACCCAGTGACCGCTTCCCACCTGTGTCCCCAAACCGGGTGTCACCTCTGCGTGTCACCAGGCTGCAGTGTCCCCGACAGGAGGTGGCTGCGTCGTGGTGACCCCGATGGGTGTCACCGTGTGCCCCACAAATTGTCCCCTGGACATGGGGACCCCAATGAGACATGATCCCCATGGGACATCACCAATGAGACCTCACCCCACGCGGTGTCCCCACCCGGATGTCACCAGGGCACGGTGTCACCACGCTGTCCCCATGGAGGTGTCACCTTGCCCCCAAAAGGTGACCCCATCCCCAGCATCACTGATGCTGTCCCCGAAGGCTGACGTCCCCGGTGCTGCTGACATCCTCGAGATGGGCGGCTGCGCCCCCAAAATGTCACCCCGCCCCCAAAGGTCGTCCCCAAAGGGTGACACCATCCCCCGGCGGTGACATTGTCCCCAGTGTCACTGGCTCTGACCCCAAAGGTGTCCTTGTCCCCAAAGGTGGTGGTGACCCCATCCCAGCTGTGGGTGCTGCCATCCCGCCCCTCTCAGGCCGTTCTCCGGGGCTGCGGTGGGGGGGGCCCCCTTGCCTGGGGGGGGGAATTCGATTTTTTTTTGTTTATTTTTCTCCTTTTGGGGGTTTTTGGTTTTTTCCCCTTCCGAGAAGTGCAATAAATGGGGCGGCAGTAGGGGGGCCGCACGGGGGCTGCTTCCCCCCCCCTTTTTCCCCCATGGGGTTTTGGCCAAGGCTGCTTTCTATCAAAGTGGAGCCGCCGTCGGCTGCTGCACCTCCGGGGTCGGCTCTGTGGGGTGGCCCCATCCCACATTCATGTCCCATCCTATATCTGTGTCCCCATCCCATATCCATGTCCCCATCCTATATCCCCACCCCACATCTATGTCCCCAACCCCACAGACATCACCGCCGCCCCGTGGTGACACTGGGGCCGTCCATCCCGTCCCCCCCCCAGCCACCACTGCTTCATTTTTTCACCCCATAAAAGCCCATTTTTGGTTCGGACACACTCACCGCTTTATTGGGGTGTCACCTCCTCCCCATGGCCACCCCATAATGTCCCCATGGTGTCCCCCCACCACTGCACTGTACCTCATGGGCTCCCACTGTGGCCCCACTGGGGACAGTTCTGAGTGGGGGGTGACCCCACTCCCCCATGTCCCCACTGTCCCCACCTCCATCACTTGTCCCCATTGCTGCCACAAGTCCCCATA